GAGGATATCTGAGTTAAAGAGATTAGCTATTCTTTTTATCATGCAACCTGTTGGCTAAGCAATCCTGTCAGGCCCAACCTAAGAACAACGATGAAACAGTCCAGTCTAGTACAGTTCCTTTATTTGCTTACACCTTATAGAGAGAATCTTGCCAAACTAAATCTATACTACACCAGTTAGTGGATATACCCTGTGAGATTCTAGGGAGTTGCTATCCTGAATCTCTTAGTCTTCTCACGCTCCCCCTGCAGACTATGCTGCCTCTTGTCTCCTTTCCCCTGCTGTAATGCACCCCCTCCTTCCTGATAGCCTTGATCTCTCACATCACTCTCCTCCTCGTAGATAAAAATCCAGAGTTATCTACAGAAATCTATTCAGTCTGTTTGAGGGGTGGTATTGATAATAGAGTCACTGAGAGTTGGCATACTATATTATTTTATTGTTGGTTGCACAGTCAGCCAGACATTTAGACTGGCTTTGGCATTTTTATCCACCTATCAAGTCCTTCCCAAGGACCTGGGATAGGCAGATGTTGTTTGATGGTGTGAGAGGTATTGTCACGGGATGTAAGCTGTTCCAAGTAAAGCTACCTTTTGCAATTGACTGATGGTGATTTTGTCAGTGCTGATGGTCTTCGAATGACACTCCAGATGTTTTGGGATTGCACCCAAGGCATCTATTACTATTGGTACTATTTTTGCTTTCTTTTGCTGCAGACATTCTATTTCTATTTGCAGGTCTTTGTATCTTGTGATTTTCTCTAGTTCTTTCTCTTCTATTCTGCTGTCTTGTCCACTATCCAGACTTTTTTGTCTTTCTTATCAACAGTTGTTAGGTCTGGAGTGTTATGTGGGAGGTGCTTGTCTGTTTGAATTCTAAAGTCCCAGAGCACTTTAGCTTCTTTATTTTCTATTACTTTGTCTGTTTTGTAGTCCCACCAGTTCTTGCAGGCAAATGGTATTTCTTGCAGATATTCCCATGCACCGTTGTTGCTACTTTGTCATGCCGGTGTTTGTAATCAGCAGTTAGCTAGGTGGTCCACTGTTTCTTCAGCTTCTTTGCAGAGGCGGCATTTGCTGTTGTTGTCTTCTCAATTCTGGCTTTATACCTATTCTGTTTGTTTCCATTTATATTCCTCCGAAAACTCAGAGTCTCCCCTAATTTTAACCCCAAATTAATATGTTTGCAGGGTAGGTTGAGAATGAGTAACTTGCTCAAAATTACTTAGTAAGCTTCATGACTGAGCAGGACTTAATCCTGATTCTCCCTGGTCCAGGTTTTAACACCTTAACCACTATACTACACTGGCTCTTTGTTATTTTTATTCTGAAATATCTTTATCATAGCCCTGGTTTCCCAAATGCACCTGTCCTGCACATAAACACCCTGTCACAATTGATGGTGTTAGTCTGAACATCTCAAAGCTCAAGGTATTAATACTACATATTTGGTACTGGAAACATATTTTGCTTTATTGCTTATAGTTGCATGAATCTTAGTATGATCATGTGGCATTCAATGGTATCATCATGCCAGTATTTGCCAAGGACTGCATTTTTATTTTTGATAGATCCATCAAGCGTTTAGAGGTAATTCATAGTTACCTTTTTAACATAGCATAAAATGGTAGTAAGTGAAAATATAAGAGCCTTGTACATATCTGCAGTGAGAATCCCTCAGAGATTTGTAAATAAATTTTTTAATAAGAGTGTATTACTAATAAGAGGAAGGCAATAACATAGGAGAAAGAATGTTTATTATCAGAAGGAATAGTTTCCTTTTTCCCCCTTGAGAATAGGCCTTCATTAACAGCCTTGCCTAAAAATATGCACATAATCAGAAAATTAATGCACAATTATTAATTGGGTGTAATGTTCTTTATCAGTCATAGAGGTACTCAATTATTAGCCTGAGGAATTTGGTTCATTCTTTGTGGTTGATTGCTTTCCCATCACACAACAAGAAAGATGCAAACATATTATCAGTGCTTCAGGCAGAGTACAAAATGGCAGCAATGTATTAATAATACATGAACATAAAAAGCTGAACATCCCTACAAGTAAATGTAGCCGCGGCTTGAGAATATTAGGCAGTTTCATTTAGTATTATCCATAGAATTCTATGTTCAGGATCTGGTGGTATGTGTCTGTATCAGCTGTTTTGCCCCAGACAAGTTAATCCACTTTCAAATTTACAAAGCAGTCTGTTCCTAAAATTGCTGCCTTTGGGTGTGCATGCTCTTTTGCTTGATCATTTTCCTCTATTCTGATGAGGTAGCAACTTCAACCTGCCAAATAACAGATGTACAAATGTTTTTGGAACAGGCCTCAAGTCTGGAAATTCTGTTTGCAACCCTGTTATCAATCTTGATAGTGTATTAGTATACCTGAAAAAACTGGATTTTTCCCCATAAGTTTTTTGTACAGAAAGAAAATATTTTTAGTATGCAGTTCAATGCAGTTGTTAATTCTAAACTTAGTCTTATTTGGAGTAGAAACCAAAGGTATTTTCTTTTCTTTCTCAATATGTTATCAGTTAACATTGTTTTGCTCTTCACTCCCAACTTCCATTTCTGGCTTCTCAAAAAAAGATTCATTGTTAAAAATAAAACTGATATTGTTCAGTCAGACAACTTCATAAATGAACTGCATGGATCTGGTACTCTTGAATTTATGTGGAATTTCTGCCCTAAATTCATTAATGTCACTTTTAAGCATTATTTCTTCAGGAGGGTTCATATAAATAAGAGTGGTGATCTAATTAATGTAATGATAAAAAAATGAAAAATAGATACTTAAGAGTCAATTAATTTCTGTAAAATAACTGTAATTGTTCACCTCCTATGGATACAAAGCACTATGTTATGGATTGTTTCTATAAGGAGAGCATAAGAAATATACTTCTTATTCTCACAATATTATTTTGCATGTATTTTAGTAGTTTGTATTTTGTGTTATGTTCTAGCATTTCAGTTTTAAATATATGAGAGAAAATAATATGCACATGATCAGTTAATGGTGTACTTTAGTCAGTGCCTAGTGCTTATGTCAAAAGGCTTCTTGCAATGAAAGGAAAGTATACAGTAGCTAGTATAGGTGGTCCTCACTTAACAACTATATGCTTACTGATTGTTCAGAATTATGATGTTGCCTGAATTTATGACCATTGCAGTGCCCCCAGCAGTCATATAATTGCAATCCAGGCACTTGGCAACCAGTTTGCCCTTATGATGGTTGCAGTGTCCCAGGATCCTGTGATTGCCATTTGTGACCTTCCCAGCTGGTTTCTGGCAAGCAAAATCAATGGGGAACTTTAATTAATGATTGCGGTGATTCACTTAACAACCTCCGCAAAAGTCGTAAAATCAGGTCCAGTCACGTGATGATTTCCTTAATGACCACATCTCTTAGCAACCTAATTTCTGGCCCCAGTTGTGGTTATTAAGCAAGGACTACCTGTCATTTCTCATTGGGATAATGGCATGAGTATCTTATATCAATGTAAATAACTCATAATGACCCTAGTAGAATTTTCAAAATACTTTAATTCTCAGTTTAAAACTGATTGAAATTCTCAAAGGTTATCTTACTATGTCTACTGTGCATTTAAAATCAAGTATTGCTTTGATGAAGAAACTAGAGAGTATACAGTTTTAAGATACACATTTGTGTATGTGTGTGTTTGTGTATGCATATAGCTGTCTAGTAAGAACCTACTCTGAAAGTTTTTTTCATAACTTTTTGTTGTATCTGCTATAACATTTGAAAAGTCATGAAAAAAGCCTTCAGAGTAGGTTCTTACTAAACAGCTGTTTCCATAAAGGTGAGGATTATGCTGACTGTGTGTGTGTGTGTATGTGTGTGTACATACACACACATACTGTTTCAAAATATAAGCTCTGAGTCACATCAATGAGAAGGGGACAGTATAAATTTAAGTGCAAGAACACATGTATGTTATTAATAGAAAGACCTGCAGGATGAAATATGGAGAGTTCTTGAAAGAAGCAGACACTGGATGTCAACCTTAGCAAGCTGTCTTTCTAGCTTTCTAGCTATCATCAGGCACTTGATGATGTTACCTAGCTGGGTAATGAAACGTCTGCAAGCAAGCAACCAACCAAACTCAGAGAGCATCAAGGACTCCTTAGAAAGCTATGTTTGAGTGAGAAATATTTATTAAAGAAAGAGGCTGAGCTAGGAAAAAGTTTTAATAGAATCTAACAAAACTTAAAGATTGTTCACGGTTTAAAAGAAATAGAGCCAAACATTAGAGCCCTGAGGGATTGTGAGGTCAACTGAGATCTTATGTCATGGGGTGTTCAGTCTTTGGAACTGATAGGCATACTTTAGATTATAAGACTATACTGTAGATGTTCTCACAAATTGGCTGCCGTATTTTCTTGTATATTCACAAAATGAATGCTATGTTGAACAAAATACCTCTTTTACTGAAGACACTGTAGTGAATGGGCAGATGTTAACATTCCAAGCCAGAGCTCTAATTCATACTAGCTAAAAGGTAGTCCAACAAATCTAGTGGCCCCTAGGTTTGAGAAGGCAGTTTTATACTAATATATATATGTATTTCTTTTTTAGCTCATTCAACAGTAGCTATGTTTATCAACAGAAAGGACTTGGACCAATTAAAGAAAGTACTATTCTTGTACTGGAGGCTAGTAGTTCAGCAATTCTGCATTCCACAGGAAGAAATATGTAAGCCCTTAAAAAAAACAACTTTTCATGTATCTTCACATTTCTTCTTTGAACTGATTAATTCTGTTTTGCATGATACTAATCTATTTTTGGGTCAAAATTTCTTCCATTTTGCTAGCATCTTCTGGAAACAATTGATTCTCATTTTTGTCTCTGCTGGCTGTTTACTGATCCACATGAACACAACTCCAGTCAAAAATAAATATTATCTCCCTCCTTCTTAGAGAAAGAGGCAGGGACACAGAGGCTGCAGGTTTGCCATGTGTCTGCTTACACTGGCCTGGCTATAAGTGTTACGTGAGGTGGATGTACTTCTATCACTCAATGAAGTACTGTGGGGTAGGATTGAAAGCCATCGTATATACTACCTTATTGCTTCAATTTGATAGAAAAATCACTTTACTCTCATATCCCACGTGTTCCATCTAGGTGTGAAATAGACCCACTCTATCCTCGATCACTCTAGTAAGCAAAGTAGGTGTCATCTCTCTTTTGTATTCCCTCTAGATATGTACTTGTTTTCATGCATCCTGTAAACAGTAAGCAATTTCAAAACATTCTTATGTTTGAGTGGCATGATTTCTTGAGTAACTAAGGTAAGATCTGTTTGAATGAAGATTTTTTGAGATGAAGATTCTCAGATATGTCACAGGATTGACTTTTCTGTAGTGGCAAGGTACTCTCCTAGCTCTTGGTAGATTTTCAATCTGCATACATCAGGGTTTAAAGTAGGCTTCAGTGAAATCATTGAATGTTATCCTGGATGTTATTGCATGCCCATCATCTTTGCAAACCCTTCTATATTGTCAATTAAGATTCATCAGGGAGTTTTAGGCACACTGAGCTGAATATTTTTACAAGGCTTCCCCATGATCAAGAATCCTGTCTTACCAGGATTTTCAGTTTCAAGAAAATCTGTAGGCATGTTTAGTTGAATATGCTTTTAATACCTGGTGAACATTTATTGTCAACAAGGTATGCAGATGCATGGGGATGATGTTGAGGCTGGGATTTCCTTGCATACTCTCACAAAAAAATAATAAATCCCTTGGTTTTGCAAGCTAAATACCTGCAGAAGATTACACTTTCTTAAATCATCTGTTACCTGTACCTCTAATAAACCAAATAAATTCAAATACAATGTTTATTCATGGGGAGGATGACTCCCATCAATTAGTTTAGATAGAAAAAAATCCTCCTTCCTTTACAATCTCAGTTAAGCTAACATTTAAGATATATTGGGGGGCTAGGGGGTGAGATAACTTTCCAGGTAAATGCAGTAAATTTTTTTCTCCATAAATTAATATTCTCACCATAAATCAGCTGCATTTGATACTGTCAACCATGGTATCCTTCTAGACCAGCTGTGGGGGTTAGGAGTAGGAGACACCGTGATCCAATGGTTCACATTCTTCCTCAGTGGTCTGTTGCAGTTGGTGTTGACAGGGTGGAGAGATTGTGGAGGCCAAGGGCCTCAGGGCTCAACACTCTCCCCTCTCCTGTAGCATCTCATGTAACATCTACATGAAACCACTGGGTGAAGTTATCCACTAGTTTGGGCTTCAGTATCATCAGTATGCAAATTGGTTTGCAAATTGTATTTATGAAGCCTTTTTTTAATCTATTGCCACAAAAGGGTTTATCAGATTTTAACATGAATGCACATATAATTAGACTGTTAATACTGAAACACTTAAAACTGTGGAAGATACAGAGTTCATATTTGTTTAAGAAGCCATGAAGGAAGCTGATGGTAGAATACTTTCTAATACTTCACTTACTCTTCTGTGCAAAAGCATTTCTTGGAAAGTCAGGGATTCTGTTGGGAACAGCACAAATTAGGTTCCAGCAGAAGAGAGTATTGCCCCAAACAAGCGAGAGATATCAATTTGTTTACAGGAAATTCTATTTATACTGATGCAGAGAAGGAAGATAGATCGGCAGCTGTCTAGGGATGTGGCTGGTCCTACACTTGCATAAAACAGTCCAGAAATCTGTATGTCATACTGCCCTGATTTCAAATGATGTAATACTGATTTTGCCAAATTGAACAGCAGCTCACCATGGCTGTAATGATATCGGCAACCCCTTTTTCTTCACTTCTGCTTTCTAAATTAAAATAAATCTAAATCACACTGACAGTCTAGATTGTGGTTTTGCTTTGCATCTTTCCTACAACAAAGAAACATCCAGCAACAGCTAAGCTGTCCTTAATATGGCCTCAGTCATTATACTGCCCACCATAAAATATATGGGACATTTAGGTGCAAATTGCAGTTTATATTATTAAGACAGTATTATCTGGTGGAAATGCTTATGCCCATAAATACAATATTAGTCTTTTAATGTCAAAACATAAAACTAAGAGCAGCAATTCTGGCATGTTAGAAAGACATGTTGGTTCACCAGAGAAATAAAAGAATGATGCACCAGGATATTCATAGACAAAGGACTATAATTTCTTCTAGGATTGCAGGTGTGGTTTGAAATTGTTTGAAATTAATACCAGGACAGTTTCAGTAACAAGTGTTTGTGGTTTATGGAGAGGGATTCAGAGTTCCCTGATATTTTGGCTGTTGCCTTTTGCCCATCAGCAGTGGGGAAAGAAAGAAAATGATCAGCATCTATTCTTGCCTCTAATGTAACCTGGTTGATATGCTTCATTTCCACATGACCTTTACCTGATTGTCAGTTTTGAAATGTAATAGTAGTAGCACCAAGCTGATTCCAAATAGAATCAATTACTTGGGAGTAGCAATACTAAAGACGGGGGGAAAGTGAAGAAAGAAAAACAAAAAGGGCTGCAAAACCCTTATTAATTTTGGTAGCCATAACATTTCTCTCGAATTAAGATAACATTAGTTCAAGCTGTAAGTATGACAACTAAACAAAACCAGTTATTTTATAATGCTGCTTTCTTATTAATACTGCTTTCATTTATTCTCAGGTTTTATTTACCTCATGGCTTGAGTATAGATAATAATGGTAACTACTGGGTGACAGATGTAGCTCTTCACCAGGTATGTAGAAGTGGTTTCTGTATTAACAAAGAGATCTGATTCTATTGTCTTTCTGCCTCTTACTAACAATTTGGGTGTAGTATTTTTTTCAGGCTAGGATGGCTCGGGGAAAACATTTGTCAAATTTTTTACTGTATTTGGAGTAACAACCCCATGGGTTGACATTTTATGCAAAACAAAAGCCAAAACCCTCTGAATCCAGCTCTTAAAATGGATTTCTGTATTGATCTCATGAATATTAATGTCTATACAGCTGTTCTCTGAAGAAAGATATATTCTACAGGTCAAATGTTTGATCTTCCTGTAAGCTATAGCATTTTTGTATTAGTCTCACTTAACTGAAACTCTTTATTCTTTTACATTGTTAGGTGTTCAAACTGGCTTCAAATGGTGCGGAATCTCCTTTGCTGACTTTAGGGAGGGCTTTGCAACCTGGAAGCGACAAATATCACTTCTGCCAACCCACTGATGTGGCAGTAGATCCAGCGAGTGGGAATATTTATGTGTCCGACGGCTATTGTAATAGTCGTATTGTTCGGTTCTCTCCAAATGGAATATTTGTCATGCAGTGGGGAGAAGGTATTAGACTGAAAGTTAATTCTTTTTTTTTTCCCCACCTTGGAGAATGGCATATAATGATATACATACAAAATAAAGTCCAGAAGGTTGCTGTCTCCTCTCCCCTCCAAGTCACATTGAAATCAATTATACTTAAGGATCTGTGGGTTTTAGGATTTCAGAGAAGTTCAAGTTATGTATTTTATAACACAATATTTCTACTATAAAGACATTCCTATTGCATAAGGAACTAAACTACCATTGATAATTTAAATGGGTAAAAAGTTCCATTTTTATTAAGTACACTAACACCTTTAGTGCGAGATATCACCAACATTTTGAGCAGATGCAGCCCTAGAAATAAGACTTCTCAGTAAAAACTCAGTATATAGTGGAAAAGTATTACACCATGTTTTAATGATTTAGATATTTGGATTTTTACAAGATATGGATTTTTTAATTCTTTTACATACAGCATTTTATTAAATTCAGTCACTGACCCAAAAACAAGTGAAAGGGCTGCTTAATTATATCAGTACATAGATTAAAAGTTGCAGTCTGATGGAGGACTTGGATGAGGAGGTTCAAGGTCACGGGGAGAAGCATCTCCTCAGCCCACAGCCTGAGCATGTGAAAGCAAAGAGGATGAGACTGGTACCACCCTAAGGAATTCGTAGTGTTTAGTTGCAGACTTTGGGAGTTAGGGTTAATCTGGTGAGATTCTGTCTAGCAGGTGTAAGCTAATAAAGTAACTGAGTAATTCCAGAACTGTCCCATGGAGTTTCTTGGGCTGAACCTGACATCAATCTCGTCAGACTAACTCTAACTCCCAAAGTCTGCAACTAAACACTACGAATTCCTTAGGGTGGTGCCAGTCTCATCCTCTTTGCTTTCACACGCTCAGGCTGTGGGCTGAGGAGATGCTTCTCCCCGTGACCTTGAACCTCCTCATCCAAGTCCTCCATTCCAGCAATGGTTGAAGAAATGCACATTTCTCTTCACCTTTTTTTTCTTCAAATGTGACCATAAATAGTGACTTCAGTTTTGTCAGACTTAAAATATCTCTTCTTTCAGAGACTTCTGTAGGTCAAGCTAAACCTGCCCAGTTCAACATCCCTCACAGCTTAACTCTTGTATCTGAATTTGGTCAGCTGTGTGTAGCAGACAGAGAAAATGGTCGGATTCAGTGTTTTAAGCCAGAAACAGGCGAATTTGTGAGAGAGATCAGACATCCGTTGTTTGGAAGAGAAGTTTTTGCAGTTTCTTATGCTCCAGGTAATTATTAAAAAGTATTACGTTTGAGACATGCACTTTCTTCTTCAGGGACAAAATAAGGTACAGTATAATTTTTTTTTTTAACATTAACGTGACTAAAACTTACTGCAGATTCGTTGAAAACTAAGGAGTTTCATCTCTCTTCTTTTGGTCTCTATGGCTCTCTAAGATTTTTTTCTACAGTTTTAAACAATTAAATTTTTAATTATTGTCAATATAGGCAGTTTCCCTGTTAAACTATGCTTGAATTTTATAAAAACTTGTAGTGGGTAGGAAGCACTTTCCCTGCATATATAAACAAAACTACTTTTGTTAGCCATGCTCTCACTTATATAAAACAGGAAGCTAGGAGGTCAGTTCAGTAGGGAGAAAAACAGGACCTAAACAAGGTTTTGCTGTTTTTTATTCCGAAAAGAATATAATATGTGGACTTCAGTCTAAGGGAGAGAGGGAATAATATTTTAACTTGTATCCTAATTAAGGCTTCCAACAATGCTGGATACCTCAAACAAGGGATCAGACACAGATTACAGCCTCTGCTGATAACTGTCCATGTCTTGTATATTTTGAGAAATTCAGAAGTTATAGAAATATCAAATTGATTTTTCAGTTTTTGTGAAAAGTTCTTATTAAATAAAATCTCCATTGCCAAGCAATAAAATATTGGAAAGAAATGTTTAATCACATTCATGGTTTCTTTGCTTAATAAAGGGCATCTGCGACAGACTATGAATGTGACTAGAGAAACTGTAGAGGGTGTTAACCTAAGAGAAAAGGCCTGTGTCTCTCCACCCAAAATCTTTCTTCCTATGCTGATGTTTCACCAAGAGTGGAAGAATATAGAAGGCTTCATAGTATTGTAGTCATATGTTCTACTTGATGCCATTCCTAATTTGCACCTTTTATTGTAATCCTTTGGAATTTTTTTATAATTCTCAGGAACACAACAGTTCTCATTCCATCCAGCTTGTTTTTTATATGTATTGTTTTCCAGATGGAGGGCCCTTCTTTACAATGAACTACCCAGAGACTGAGCGATACCAACTAGGGAAACTTTAAAACCTAAGAGGCATAAAATGTAGCCTGTACAATTTAGCATCCTATGGCTAAATAAATGCCAATGGAAAGTCACAGTTATAGCATCCTCCACTTACGTTTCCTAGCAACTGGTATTGAGAGATCTAGTTCCTCTTGTTACTACTGTTTGGGAATTACTTTAATAAAAAGTGGACTATCCTTTCACTCCAAGAATTTGTCTGTTTCCTTTTTACCCAAACCCAAGTTAGTAGTCTTACATACTACCATACTGCTACAGGTAAAATAAGCTCTGAATGGAGAACTGCTTATTCCTTCAAAATTCATTTGCTGACATCTGGTTGTAGTATTTTAAGAGGAAAAAAAAATAAACTGCTCTCCCAACTCTCACAACACTACTTTTTAGAATATACATCTATAATGTATACTCTGTAGTATGTGTGTATGTATGTAGGTGTATGTGTGTATGTATATAATTGCTTCATTTTTCCTTTTTAAGCTGGAAAGTTTTACTGTTGCTGAATTTGTTTTCAGTTTGTCATCGCTACTAGCCTCAGTTCCTCATATTTTCATGCTTGAAAATGAACTGCTATTTTCAGTATCAGTCCTACATCTTGTATAATGAAGATGGAAAGATATGTATTTATTTCTGCATTTATATACCATCTTTTTGTTATTAACTCAAGGGAGAATAGAATGTCTCTCCTATTTATCTCCAAAAAAACAGCCTTGTGAGGCTTGTTGAGCTGAAGGAGAGTGCTTGGCCCACAGTGAAACAGGAAGTTAGGTATGGGTCTTTCTTGATCCATATCAAATACTTTTAACAATTTTTTTGCAAACTCATTTTTCTTTTGTTATTCAATGGTCCAACCACATCTCTGTTTTCTCATTTCTGATATATGTAAAGTATGTATCATTGTTATTTTCAGTGTCTTTAGAGATGTGCTTCACAAAACACATGTTTGCATCATTTATTGTATTTCTTTAGTTCTTTCTTTAGTGCTAGTTTGTCTTTAAAAAAAGGTCTCATCATTTGGGCATGGTTTTCATTTTCTGAAAGGAGCTGTCATTTTTCTCATAGTTTCTGTGACATTGATCATCATCCATGCAGGTCACTGCTTTGACTTTACATTTCCTAGCCAGCAGAATGCACTCTGGCTGATCTTTGTCCCAGATGTGTTACAGTTAGCACGCCGGTTTCTCTTAACAGAACTTCAAATTCTGTCATTAGTTACTTGTTAAGGCCATGGAGGTGCGGGAGACAGAAGCTTGATTCTCTAATTGCATCAAGCTACCTGCATTCAGATTTTGTTCCCTGAGTTGCTTTAAGACAGGTAATGGTTAGAGTTCTAAGCAATTTAGAAGAGGTTCTGTAAGGGACTAAGTACTCGGATGGGAGACCACTAGGGATTCCAGGGCTGTAGGCTAGACTGCTAAAAAAGAAAATAATAATAATACTAGAAGAAGGCAATGGCAAATGTTTTTGGAGCACTGCCAAAAAGCTGCATGGAAGCAATCCTCAGGAGTCAAGTCTCCTTGAGGATATCTTTTTGTATTATACTATAACTAGAATGTTTTTTTTTCCAGCAAACCTTATTCCACCGTTCACAGAATATTATCTTAACTACACTGACTTGCTGTTTTCCTTTCAAGACAGTTCGCTATTAATTATTGCATTATAAGTATATATATGCCTCATCTATTGAAATTTTTCCAAATACTTGCAGGAATCAATGTGTATATTTTTTTTAAAAATATTTTTTTATTTTTACAACAAACACAAAACATACATGAACAAACA